CAGCCACATATTCTCCAGGCAATCTGTGCCAGGCCCTCCCCAGCCTCAGAGGGAAGAATTTCTTCCCAATATCCCCATCTAGCCCTGCCCTCTGGGAGTGGGAAGGCATTCTCCCTTGTCCTGTCCCTCCAGGGCCTTGTCCAAAGTTCCTCTCCAGCTCTTTTCGAGCCCCTGTAGGTACTGGAAGGAGCTCTAGGGTCTCCCTAGAGCCTTCTCTACTCCAGGCTGAGCACCCCCAGCTATCCCAGCCCCTATCCAGAGCAGAGGGGCTCCAGCCCCCTGACCACCTCTGTGGCCTGGATGCAGTGCTCCAGGTGGGGGGTCTCACGAGAATTACTTTAGTTTATGCAATAAAGTTCCTTTATTGGATATCTCTGCTGAAATAACCTTTCTACATTATTAAGGAGCAACTCTAAACAAGCAGATAAGTTGAAGTTTAACCACACATACTGTACTATGACACTGTAATTATTGCCATGGATTGCAACTTTAAACAAATACCAACTACCCAAGGTCAATGGTGTATCCCTAGACAGAATTAGATAAAGTTGAAATCCCATGCAACAAAAATGCATCATAAGGTTAGCTAGAAAGAAAGGGAGTTAAAAGAAAAACGGAATAATTTCTAAGTGTTAAGGGCAAAGGATATCAGAATTATTCTATTAGTTGGAGACATTTTTAAAATCTTAAAATAATCTGATACCCACCACCATAATTTTCCTTATTTCCACATCTTCATGTGGACAAAACTAGCAAAGAAGGGGTTCTTTGAAACTGCCAATCAGTTTGCACACACAAGTGACTGAGCACAGTGGAACTCCCTGTCTTTGTACCAGATTTTCCTCACTATACAAGGAGAGAAATCAACCTTCAGAAAGACTAGTCAGACTCATTAAACCTACAATAATCTTGTTGCTTTGCTGATATCCCTTCATTGTTTCCCCAAGTTTTTCTCTTCCAAAAGCAGTTGTGTGTCTTCCACTTTCATGTGTTTTTCCATTAATCCTCAACATGTCTGTTTTCTTACCATCACATCTCCCTTATACCTAGCCAGGGTCACTGTCCTTTGTCTACTTACTGTGTTTTCAAACAAGCACCTCTGTACTTTCTGTGATACTGCCTCATACTGATGAACCTCACAAAATTACCTCAAAGCATCCTCCTTCAGAACCCTCCTTTGTTTTAATGACAGGAAAGAGTTCACTATGGGTACTCTTTTCAAAACCCTTTTATCTTTTCCTCTCCTGCCTACATCTGCTGTCATTTGTTTTACACAGTACAAGCCTTCTGAGGAAGTCATATCGGAGCGTGTGTCTTGAACAAGGGTCTCATTTATAGTTTCAGCACAGTACAGATGGACATTTTTTCAGAGCTCTGCCTTCGCAAGCTTTCTGTTGCATCCCATCATAGAGAAGATCTTCCCTGATACTACTTCACCCTTTTTTCTGATGCCAGAACTTCAGTTGTTTGGGAGAAAGGGAGATCTCTTGTGCCCACTCACAGTTATTATACACATAGTTCTTATGTAATAAGAAAATAAGCTCAGTTTGATGGTGGATGTAGAAGTATGAGTCTTCATAAAAGTACAAAATTCAAACATCATCCATTCAGAACTAAACAATTAATGCTGGCAAAAAAGAGAAACTTCAAGAGTAGTTTGTCTCTAACAATTTTTGACTCCTAGTTGGTACATGAGTATTAAAATGCAACTTTTTAATCACACCTCAGGAATAGCATCTAAAATGCAAGCCCCTTAGTGATTAAGTAACCAAATGTAGACACTGACACCACAGATTTGCTCTAGAAGCATTTTAATTTACAAACAGCAATTCCGATTGACTTTATACCATAAAAAAAGCAATTTACAAGCAAGAAACAAATTCATCAGAACAAAATAAAGCAGCACGGAAATATTCATGTCACAAATCTAAAACCAAAGTGAATACAAGAGTAAAATATCATTTGAATAAATATTTTAAAGTTCATGCTATAAAATAATTCTTAATGGCAAAGTTACTAGATGTTACAGCATCAGCTTAGCTAGCTTCATTTACTTCACGTGGCAATGAAGTGCGAGGTGTGAGGTTCCCGGTTTATATTGCAAGATAATGACACCAAGTCAAGTCATTCAAACTGTTCAATTATTTATCATCAAAAACAACCATACAAATAAAAGTTTTTTAAAAATACAATTTTTCAGTCAGAAACAAATACTGTTAAAATCGTGCAAGAGCTCTACCTCTACCCAGACCTATAACCAGAGGCTCGCAGTCCAAGTCCAAAGGCTGAATCCCTGTGGGAATGAGAGTCAGCAGTTCTGGATCTGCCATGGCAGGAGTGAGCTACAGGAGTGAGAGGCAAACCTGCTCAGTCAGAGATAGGTGGCTTCACATCCCCTGAAGAAATACAGGAACACATGCCCCAGGCTTACTTGTTTGTTTAGCTTTTTTTTTTAATGTAAACTTGCGTAACTTAAGTTAATGCTGTCACAGGGATGTGCAAGTACTATTAAATCTACAATATTAAATACAACTATTCTGGCACTTGTTAAAATACATGTAAAATGCACAGAGATTATAAACTTTGAACATTTTGAATGACTTTACTAAACTTCCAATTCAATCACTGAGTATTATGAAATTTACAATTCATGAAATAAAGAGATTCATATAAAGAATTTACATAATTCCCCAAATACTTTCAAATATAAAATTTAATAAATAACCCTGACCAGTCAAAAAGCACCATTCAAGGGTAAAATTCCCTTGGAAAATAGATTAGGTGTTGCATATTTGAGTCCCTTTCAATGGTTTCATGTGAAACCTGTTTAGAAAAATGACAATAAAAGAATCACAGTAAACTAATACAAAAATTTAAATAATATATATATTTAAAGGTAAAGCTCATTCAATATTTTCCCAGCCCTTGATTTTATTCCTATTGTTCTTCCCATAATTCAACCTAAACATATTAAGAGGCCTCATTGCTTTGTCTAAAAGTAAACCAAAAGCTTCAGCATAAACCATGAATTTATGCTGGGGAAGACTGCATTAAAACTCTCAATTTAGGCCTACAGTCTACCCTGCTGACAGTGAACTGACAGTATCCTTTATGCTACGGAAAGATTTCACACCAAGAAAGCAGAGCCAATCTTGAGGCCTTAGTGACCAAAATGAACTTTTCATATACTGTAAGTATTTACAAAGCTATTTTCTAAATGTATTTACAAGCTTAAAAGAAATAATATGGAAGATAATAAGAAAGAAAATTAAAATAACAGTTTTAAACCACAGACATTAGCAAAGGTATAAAATCCTTTATTTTCACAGTTTGTCAAAATAGGTTAAGCATCTAGAAGAAAGGACACTGTCACTGCTTTCACATTTGTCTAGAATTAAAAAGGTAGATTAAGAAGAGACTCAATTATGAACCAGCCTATATAATTTCACCATTTATTTTGCTGTCAAATATTTCTTCACATATTTTATTGACTTCTGCATTTATTGTAAATGAAATGTGTAACAGCTCTGTGCTGAGAACTGGACAGACACGAGACATTGTACAGTGTTTCCATGGTTGCTAAAGTATCCCAGCTCGCTGGGCTGGTGACATGAACTCATCAGGTCACGCCTCGTGTCTGTGACAGTGTTGATCCTGGCACCCCGTAGAGTGACAAGGCACAATGGAATTGCTGCTGCCAGGGGTGCTGTTGGTGTTCAGCAGAGCCCGGGGGGCCGGGCAGAGCTGGGCTATGGCTTGGGAATCAGGAACGCTGCCCCCGGGGAGGGAACGGGCACAAGCAGGGCAAGCAGGACCTGCATGTTGCTGGATCATGGGCTTGTACAGAAACGAATCATTTCCTGCCCCTTAACAGTCCCCTTACAATGGTTTGAACCTGAACCTGTACAATCAACGTGATGGTTTTTTGTTTGCTTTCGTCTGAGACAATTTTGGATAAGTCACTCTTTGGTAAACTCAAACCATTTTAATACATTTACAAATACAAAGAACTAGATTTAAATAATGTTAAGATTGTGACACAGAGAAATTCAAGAAATATAAAATTTGTACCCATATCCTGCTATTCTCAACTCATTCTTCCAGGGAAAAAGTCACACCAAAGGCACCACAGCACAGGTTCAAGATAAAGGGTTAGGAATAACTGTACATTTCTTGGATTTTGCATGTCTCAAACTTAATTTATCAAAACTTACTTTTTTTTTTTTTTTTTCATTTAATTGCTTAAAACATACACTTAGGGAAAAAACTATATCAGAAACAGCAACATGTTTTTAGGTGGGTAAACATACAGACTACCTGCCCTAGACACAGACTATCCCTTCCCTTACTGGAAACAAAAGTTCTGTTGTTGCTTCAAGGAGAGAAACATCTCCCCACCCTCTGCCTCTTTATTTAGGCAGTTTTGGGACAAAGAGGCAAATGATGTACCCAATTTAACCGAAACTGCTCCAATGGAGCAGGTGGGGGTTATACTGTAAATCCACGTTTTACGAAATTAATTCTTATTGCAGACTGTCACAATATTAAGAACTAGTGTATTTAATAAAGCTACTGCACAAATATGCCCCAACTTCACAGGGGTCAAAAAGCAGGGGCACAATATGCCCCAACTTCACAGGGGTCAAACATAGCAAACCTACCTTTTTGCTTTCCCGTAATTTAGAAAAGCTTTTGTTTTCTAAATTTCAGGAGTTAAACAGCAATGTTCACAGACGTATTTTCAATATCAGCTAAACAAACATAAGACCCAATAATACAAAACCTGTATTTTAAAGAATTATGTGATTAATTTAACGATTAATTCTGTTCATCAGGTAGAATTCAGGTAGAATGTTACACAGTAGTGTTTGCCAGTCCATGCTTTTGAGGTCTCTTAAGCTATTGATTTTTTTGTGGTATTTTTTTTGGGTTTGTTGTTGTTGTTTGTTTGTTATTGGCTTTGGGGTTTTTTTAGGGGGTGGTTTGTGTAGGGTGGGGGCTTTTGTTTGTTTATTGTTAGGGAATTTTTATTTTTTTTTTTTTGCTTAACTGTTACTATTATGTTTCACATTTTATATATTATACTGACCTAAATGATGAAGTTAGCACCATTTTAAAAACATACATTTGGTGAAACAAAAAGATTTAGAGTATTTTTAAAGTTGTTGGTAGCTCCTTTATGCAGAAAACAACCACTGAAAATAGCAGAGAAGCCATAGCAACTCTGTAATACTCACACATGAAATAACAGACATATTGCTCAATATTCCCATAGAGTATTTGTTTTTTTATACAAAAAAAAGTACAAATTCCAAGTGCTGGCATATCACTTGGAGCTTTAAGTAGGAAGTCAACGTGCACCTGAAAACAGTTCTCTGTGAAGAGACCTATTAAAATACTGCTTGGAAATACTGTGGTTGAAACTACATCTCTCTCTGGTTTTAACCAACCAGGAAGAGTGATGAAGTTAAATTTAATTACCTGGTATGGTTCTACAGTACGAAATGAAGGTAGATTCTGAGGCCAGCCAAAACACATTTAAAACCACAATGCTACTTTTAAGTTTGCTAATATTTTTTTATATATTTATATATATATATATATATATAGATATATCTATCTCTATATATATAAAAAGGTCAGCACCACAGGTTGTCCAGCTTGCATTCTAGACAACTAACAAAACCCCTCAACAGTTTAACCATAATTTAATAGATTTATGGCATTTGGTTTACATATGTTATAAAGCAAAGCTATTAAAACAAGGTAATTCACTTTGCTCACTTTTGCACACAAAGTAACAGTTTAATAAAATGAAAACCAAACAACATTCATTTAAAACCAAAACCATCCTCCCAAAGTCCAAAGTCCTAAACCCTAAGCAGAGAGGAGTCCTAGCAGTTGAAAGAGTGGTATATGGTATCAGCCTTGACATACTTTTACATTCACCTCAACCAGAATAGGAAAAGTGAAAACATTTTATATATATAAAGCAAATTTATATATATAAACAGACTCACTACCAAAACCAGTTAGTAAGAACAGATTTCATTGTGACACAAGAAGAATCAAAGCTATGATATTCTCTCTCCCCACTGCTGTGTAACTCATTACCAGCAAGAGGATTTCAGAAAATAAGGGAACTTACAGCTTCTTGGAGCATCCAGCAGAGCTGCCAATCTTATTCTAATATCTTTCTCCACTGGAGTTTGTGTCTCGCCAGATCAATCAACAGGGACACTTCAGCAGACTCTTCCTATCTTTTCCCCAGCACAGTCTTTATGTTCTGAGCATCTCCAAAAGTAAAAAACAAACCCCAAACAACTCAGCCTCCTTCAAAAACAAAGAATACTTGTGTAGTCCTCTCCAGAAACCGTTTCTAACCGATTTCCAGAAGGTCAGGAAAATTAAAAGGCTGTTACACTTGTACTGAAGATTACTAAAAGAATAAAATACTTTAAAAATACACTAGTAGTGTGCTTGTCTTGTGTTGCACTTAAAATGTAGTATTTTAATCAGATGTGTTAGAGATTGCATGAATTTCCATACTAGAATCCATGGCTTCAGAAGCTGAAGCATCATTATCTACTTTCTGTTCCACAAACGCTTCTGTTCTGTCTGGAGACTCGACCCTGTTTCTCACTTCTGTTACCCCAGGGTGATTTTTTCGCAAGTGCTGGTTTAGTGTACCCTGGAAAGGAAAGCATTTGCCACAGATCTCACAGCGAAAGGGTTTGTCATCTGTGTGACCACGAATATGATACTCAAGTTGGTCCTTACGGGTGTATTTCTTTCCACAAAACTTGCACACAAAAGGAGTTATTCCCATGTGCAATCGCATGTGTCGATCAAGGCTCCCTTTCTGGTTGAAAGACTTCCCACAGTAAATACAAATTAGCCTTTCATTGTATGGATACCAGTGACCTCTTGCATTTCTTTCCTGTGGACTATTTTCATATCCTGGATTACTCACCATGGATTCACTGTCAGCCCCTTGCACCAAGCCCTGGACATCACTATGCAAGTGACCTGTAGGTACTCGTTTTTGGCGTGCACGACCCCCTCTGAAACAGCTCAGCATTGACCTTGAAGGACTTGTATTGCTCAGGCTCCCAAAGGTTTCTGACACACCTGTAGCCTGGGATGAGGCATGGGTAAATGAATAAACATGTTGTAAGACAGACCCATAGGAACCAACATTTACTGCCACCACCTGCTCTCCGTCCACCATTTCAGTGTGATATCCATCATCCCCGAGGGAAGAGCTGTCAGAGCAGCTTGGCCTGTCAGACTTCTCCATTTTAACTTTCACCTCTGCAATCTGACTTTCCCTTACTATCAGGTCTCCTTGCTCATGATCACCTTCAATCTGAATCTCATATTCAGAGATACTACCACTGCTCCCTCGGTCTGAATGCCCTTCTTCTTGCAGACGACTCCGTAGAGTTTTGCCTGGAGTAGTTTCCATCCTCAGATCGCTGCCTGCTGTTGGCTGTCGCACCTGAGAGCAATAGGGAGGAGAGATCTCAATAGGGTTGGCAAAGTAGCTGCTGTCTTTAACGCCATTGCGATTCTCTGAATTTTCTTCAGCACCAACAGTGACAGAATCAACATCGCCAACAGTGATCTTGGAATGGATACTCTCCAGGATCTGCGTGCACTTGTCAATGACGCACTGCATCTGCAGGAAGCTGGCTGCAGTCAGAAAGCTGACAACGTCCTTCAGCTGCAAAGACATCCTTCCAGTGTAACAGAAAGAAAGCAACTGTTCAAAAACATTGGGATTTTTAATTACTGATATGGATAAGCCACTCATGGTGCTCAATGCTGAATGGTCACGGAAATATGGAGAGCTGGCAGCTAACACAGCCTTGTGGGCGCGGAACGGTTGCCCCTGGATGTGCACAATTATGTCACAGAGCTTCCCTTGCAAGCGGAGTTCGTTTAGCTGGCTCAGAACAGTGTTGCTGTACTCTGGCACATCAAACTGAATGAAACTGCTGCTGTCCATTTCTACTGATGTAAAGAGTAATCTGAAAGACAAATACAAAGATTTACAACTGAGAATGAATATGGAGTTTTCCATTTAAAAAATGCTTGCAAATGTTTAAGTTACATCACCTCACCAATCTGTTAAAGGTGCAATACAACAAAACAGTAAGCATAGATACTTGATATAATAAAGAAAGTAGAGTCTTAACCTATGCATTTCTTGTATTTCTATAATGTGAATTATTCCTCTGTGACATAATGGAATTGCACAGAATACACGACAGGCTCCCTGGGACAGTCTGTGTCCTCAAAGAAACTTTACAATTCCACTCCCTGGCAAGAACTGTAGAATGAAACCTCCACCCTTCCAAAAGAATACCAGTTTTATAGCCATTAAGCAAGGTTAACACTTTAGAACCCTGAGCAGGTGTACAAGCCAGACACTACAGTGATACTTGCAAGGAACTGCATTGTTAAATTGCCCAAGAATTACTGTTGGAAGGTACTTCATGAAGTTTGAAAACCCTGTAAAAGAAACACCACAGGCATGTGTGTGTGTGTGTGTGTGTGTGTGCGTGTGTGCATTTGAAAGAAAAGTGTTTGAGCCACCCATGGACTTTCTATTTTTAAAAAAAAATTTTTTTGTGATTTAATTATTTTTTTTAATAAACCACAATGTGAGCTTTGAAGCTCATCTCATGTAACAGTGATTTCCTATCTAGAATGATTTGACATTTAAATTCTAACCTAAATGAAAAGCCATGGGTACTCAACCACCAGGAAAGGACATTCCAAGAGGCTTTAATGTACAGAATTCCAAACAAGAGCTAAAGAAAAGCACTTTTCACAGAGTACTACTGTAGAAAGTACACACAGTTGTCACCCTGAGAGTGTCAGCATCATCTTACATTTCCAAGACACTAATCAAGTGCCCAAGAATCTTCAGACTTGTATTGCTATTCTTGTTCTTATTAATGCAGAAGTATAAACACACAATATTGCCACCATACCTGCTTTTCCAATTGAACAAAGAGATCTCAACATCATCCATTGACTTCAGATGCAGGAAGCATGTCCAATGTATCACAATATACTAGTGGATTTTTTTTTTCTATTATGCTACATGCTGTAATGGGACATATGAACAATTTAAATCAAATTATGAAAACTCAGGTATTCTAAAAACAAAATCAACAGGTAGAAATACGATAAAAAGCCTGAAAGGAAGAAGTGGAGCTCTGTCAGCTGACTTTCACTTAAAACTAACATTCATAATTTTCACAAATGGAACTTCTTTTCAGCAAACACAAGAGAGCCAGCTTCCTGACTGGACACTATCTCCAGGTAATGAATACCTATTTAGAAAACTGGAAAAAACTCTCACAGAGCATTCAAAATCAAGTTATCGGAATCACTAAACATGTTCTCTAAGTTATCAGTGTCATTGATGAAAATGGGTAAGCCAGCCTTCATTTGAGCTTTTACAGTTGTGATGTAAAAGACATTTTTCCCACCCGTTATATCTGAGGTGGGAAATAAGGACCGCAAGATGTTTACCAGAAGTGATGTGATCACAGCGATCCATTCAGAGATGGCTTGGGCAGGACAGTTCTTTTATTCAGCAAACAAAGCTATAAAATGATTCAGAGTTGCAAGCTGATTTAAGTCAGAAATCAAACAGTACAACACACAACCAACCCCAGTCCGACAGTGAGGCAGTTACATGGCAAGATTAACCTTGTTACTCTGAGCATCCCTGCATGCTGTGCAGAGAACCACTATCCCAGTCCCATAGGGAAGACAGGAGTCCCAGCAGTTGGATGCCTGTTTGTCACCTTCACTTGTGTCTGACAGGGCAGCAGGCTTCTTACAAACCCAACAGAGCTCACTACCTTTAATTTGGGGGGCTTATTAGCTACACACAGATGCAACAGCAGCCACTCCTGATTAATCATTCATGATTCTCCATGCTAAGTGGAGAAAGAACTTTTGCTGACCTGAAGTGACATGAATTGACAAATTACCTGGGTTGAGGACTGTGTACAAACTAAAAGACCAGTCCCCAGCAGCAATAATTTGTCATTCCTGTCTAGGATGTACAGAAAGTTTGTCTCATACAGATAGTGGGCTTCTTCCTTGTCCCATACTTCTGTAAGGGCTATTGCTTAGCAAAATCAAGAACAACTTACTCCTAGAGAAAATATTAAAATACAAATTGTCACCACTAGCACTGGTCCAGACAGAAGGAATGAACTAAGGATAGGCACCTGAGAAGAAAAAAGATGCACATTTCATGCCTTATCATGGAGAAAAAAAAAAATGTCCTTTTGATCATGGCATCTTGGTATCTCTAAATGAATTCACAGTCCTGGGACACAGCCACACATTGAAAATGGACTGTAAACACGTACCAGAGAAAGTGTGAGAACCAGGAGGGAAGGACACCAAGGAGAAATGGAACCTGCACATTATCACTCTGTTAGAACATTCCCTTAACTCCATATGCATATACATATCTATAAGTAATTCCTTGTTCTCAGAGTTGTTTAATCTTTCTTTTGGGAAACAAAGCAGCTTATTTTGCTAAAGATGCTAGGAGTAAACAGCACGAATGTTGGCAGTGAGTGCAGAGGATGATGGAGTTAATGGTCTGTAAGTCTGGCTGCCAGAGAAGCAGAAAAGCAGTAAAAACCAGCAACAGGGATCAAGGGAACATACAGTGCTGCTTTGAAAGCAACCAAACAGGTCCAGTACACAAGAATGAGCCCAAAAGCAGTGGACGACAAGGTTCTATATCCACCTGCTTTTAAAAAACAAAGTGAACAAGTGACAGCACGCACTTGTGACTACTTTTCCACCTCAGTTTATTCCTTCACATGCTTCCTGTGACCTTGAAAACATCTGGGGTAGAAAGCTGGGGTCAAATGACAAGAATTTTGAACTGCAACAGCACTTGACAGAAGGGAACCCTACTTCTGCTTTCAGTCACAACCTTATATCTCCAGCTGGAGATTCTGGAACTGATCAGGTTGCTGATAGACACCCCATTCAGGAACAGGCAGGAACTGTAGCAGGAACAGCACTGAGGCTGCAGTAATTTTGCCAGGGTTAGTATCAGGGCACCCCACCTTCCTTCCATCAATTAGGGAAAGCAAGACCTGGGGAAAAACCTGGGTGTTACATGCATCAGAGAAACAGGCACCGCTAGCCACGTTTTACTGGTGAATAATGGCCAGAAGAAGAATGATCTTATTCACAGAGATCCCGAATGTCACTAGCTAGAAAATAAAAGTAATCTGTAGATTATATTCCCATACACAAGAAGGTTTTATTTTATTTGTATACAGGATCAAGTTAAAAGCTCCATAATAAAATTCTAGTAACATTAACCAAAATAATGTTCAGCAGGTACTGTACCATAATAATGCTCAATCATTCATCAGTGCTGGCAGGCCAGTAGCTCTTACAAGCCAATGTGATTTATGACTGAAACATTTCTGAAACAGTCCTGGAAGATCACTACAGTTTGAAAAGACTAATAAGAACCCCCCCAATTTTTTAACAGCTTCTTTCAAGCTGAAACATCTCCCTAATCTCTTCTCTTCAGGGGTGAGGCATGTAGCATTAAACTGAAGCAGAAAGGCACTGTAAAGCACAAATTAACTTTGGATGCACCCACTGTGTGCTCTAAAGAAAAAAATTATCTCTGCAGTTAACCAGACAGTCATAATGAAACTTACACACATAATTCTTTACAGAATCAGCACAGGTGAAGAAAAAAAAATTAATGCTCAGTCAGAAGTCTTGTTCAGTACCTTCCATAATATCTCGGCACATGCAGAGGGAACCTCTGTTATTTAGGCTCAGGATAACCACGTAGAACAGTAGTTCAGAGTGATGACAATTTTATTTGCGATAAACAAACTCAAGCATTTGGGGGGTAGTGAGAATTAAGACAACTCACAGCAACATGAGATACTCTCACTGTTAAAAGTAATGCATTTTGTCTTGCTTGAGCTTTCACCCCTGCCTTGAGTTAGTGTAAAGTTCAGGCAAAGTCCTGTAGAATTTCAGTCCACCTCTGCACACCTATTCACAAATAGGTCCTCTCTTAAACCTTTCTGCAAAAGTAGATCAAAGTGTTTAAGCTTTCCCTAGCTATTATGTATCCAAGAAACTGGCTGAAGGCACAGGCCAGAACTGGACATCAGGTTCAATAAGTCCTAGCAGGGCTCTGTGTTGAGCCTCCTCTGTATTTCTGTAGATGATCCAGTTGCACTTAACAGAATCATATAAATTCTCTTTGCATCTGCATTATCTTTATTCATCGGGGTTTTATACAGCAAATGTAGGCCACAGAATGAATTTACTAGTAGTGAATTGCTGTCCTATATCTTCAACCAAAAGTGTTCATTGAAGTAACCTGTGAACACCAGAGTGATAGACATTTAACATTTCTCATTAGATTTTGAAAGAAACTTACTTTAAAAATTATGTTCTATGAAAGCTCTTATTTAATTTTAAAAAACCAAGAATAGATGGTGACAAATCACATTAGGTATTTAATTTTACTGACATCATATAGTAGCAGCAGAGAAGCATCATATAACTACAACACGAAGCTGTGTGTCTGCCAACATCGTATTAGTTTCTCCTTCTAAGTCTGCACCTGTTTAATTTCCTTCATTCACTGAAGTATGATTCACCATTCTCACAGACAGGTGAACGACACAAATTACACTCATTTTAACTCACACAAAGGTGTGAGAAAAGATTCCTTGCATTTTCTTAAGTTAGCTCAGCAACAAGGGGTCATTGGGAAAAAACCTCACATTAAAAACCATTACTGTTGTAACATGTCTGAAAACAGGAATATGTAGAAAAGCTAGGAGGGTCATAATGAAAATTAAGACAAAAACAAAGCAAAGTGCTCCATGACACCAAGAATGCCTCTCCCAGACAAGAAGTGACAGGACAAGAGGAAACAGCCTCAAGCTGTGCCAGGGGAGGTTCAGGTTGGACATTAGGAGGAATTTCTTCATGGAAAGGGTTGTCAGGCATTGGAAGGAGCTGCCCAGGGAGGTTGTGGAGTCACCATCCCTGGAGGTGTTCAAGAAATGGCTGGCCATGGCACTCAGTGCTCTGGTCTAGTTGACAAGGTGGTGATCGGTCACAGGTTGGACTTGATGACCTTGGAGGTCTTTTCCAACCTTAATGATTCTGTGGTACTCCCTCCACACATTACTGCTCAGAGTACAGAGAAAAAGCATGAAAATAAATAGGTATTTATATAGAGCAGTGCACTTCCCCCTTGCATTTTGTAGGAGTCAGTATCTCCTACACCATCTGTGTGAGAACTCAAGACATCACTGCAAATATGTATCATCATTCAAGAGAATTTTAACCTAGGAATGTAACCTATCAGCTGTGATCATGGAAGTTTTTAGGCAAAGATCATCATCACTCACTCCCTTCAGACTGCATTTGCATTAGTCTTCAGATTTACAGCAGCCACACTAATTAATTCTGGCTGTATCCAAGAAAAACTGCCATAAGGTATGTCACAGGCTACAGGGGGTCTCTAAGACACTCCTTAAATAGTTTTTAAAAATAGGGAAGAGACTGTTCATAGAATATTTTTACCAGTTTATACCTCTCATAGCAGTAAAGTATTAATTATCTTTTAAAAGTCAACGTACAGTGCCCTTGCACGGCTTTAAGCAGTGTGCCACACAGCACTACTGCTTCACTGCAAATCCAACCCCAAAGGAGGGTAGCTTCCCCACCTCTAGAAAACAGATTTTAATACTGCAGCCACTAAAAAAAAAAACAACAAAAACCAAACCAAAAGAAGGTGAAAAAAACCCCCCATAGTCTCCCAGCAATTGAGATAATTTTGAACTACAATAAACTTAAAATAATATAAGCAGCAAATACAATGCAAATATGTAGAACTGTTTTTTGCATCATTTCTTCACTTCTTCTGAAGTGCCCATCAGAATCAAAGAAGAAACAGACAGTTTGCCCCAATTATCTGCAGGAAAGCACACAACAAAGAGTGCATGTGGAATATTACTCATTAGAAAACAGCTTTGAAAATCAGTTTGCTTCAGTTCTATTTTAGACTACAATACAGAATCTGATAGAGTAGTGAAGACTACAAAGCAATTTAAAACTTTGTTACTTTACCTCTTAAACATGCAGGAAGTGCCCAGTTTCCTCAGAAACTGAAGCCAGCTTAGTGTGTTCTGCAGTATAGTTACTAGAAAGCTTATTTCTTGCACACTCGCATCAGTAAATATCAGAACACCCCAGTGAAAGTCATCATCCTCCCTGTGCAGCCAGAGAGGCCATGCTCTACCCTAAGTACTGAACACCTGCAGTGAAGCCACGAGCAAAGGTCCTGCCTGGTGGGTGAGCTCAGTGCTGCAGGACACAACACCACCAGCTCTCCAGGGAGCAACACAGTAACTCCTGCCACTCACTTCAGAACAGCTTTCCTAATTCAGACTTTTGTCTAACAAAAATTTAAAAGGATTTATTTTTACCTCACCAAGGTCCACAACATGATGAACAGAAAACCACTTCAAAGAGTGGATGATTTTAATATCAAAATACAACTGATTTATTTATATGTATGTACATATACGCACATGCACACATAGACACATTCCAATACCAGTAACACTACAAACCCATTCTCAGTGGTTAGCATGGTGCAGCAGGGAAATTGCATATTTAGCATTTTTATAGGGAAAAAAAAAAAAGGGAGCCTCCTATTTGAACAAATATCCAAAGCAAGCAGATGTAAAACTGAAGTCCAAGGGCCACCTTCATCCCTTAGTTTCTAACTGTTTTCCTCACAACTGCTTGCCTGTGTGAAAGTGATTGAAATAGTAAAAATGAAACAACCATCAATGCATAAAAAATGTTTCACTTAACAATTAGAAACCTCAATAGAAATAATCTCTAAATTTTGGCTCTAGAAATTAAATTACTACAAAAGAAGTTACAAGTATGTATTTATTTCTGAATGCAGAAAAAAAGTCACTAGGAGGCAAACTGGAGACAAGCCAAGATCAAAAGGTCCTTTCCAACTCAAACTATTCTGTAAGTCTATGATTCCAATATTGACGAAAGCATTCTGTCAGATAAATAAAACAAAGGGACATGTTGGTGATACGTACACTTCAAATCAGCAAGATCTTACAAGTAAAAATGATCAAAAACTTTTATTTTATGCACAAATTTCATAATATCCCCATTATGTAATGCTAAATAGTCACATCTGAATATCTGACAACTTTGAGATGTATGCTTTGAGAAGCCACTACAATTATAAAAACCACCAGCTTATATTTTGAGACTCAGGATGTATATATAGGCAGAACTTTCACAAGTGGGGAGTGAGAGGAGGGGGAGAGGGCTCTTAAACCTCCTGCTATCACAATATTATTTACTACCAAGGTAATACTTCATCACCACTGTGCATTTTAATCCATCCACTTTTCTATTTTTTTTTTTAAGGCTTAGTCATTCTTCAGCAAATCATAACTTTTTGGCTTCAATGTTTCTTCTAGGCAATGAAGTAACTATGTTCTCTAGATATCAGCAACATTTTTTGCAGTAGATTTACAGTAGCTGTGAAGAGCCATTTTCATGGTATTTTTCCAACCCGTTACTTGGGACAGAGGGAACAGTTTGTGGCTGTCCCTAGACAGATGATGAAGCACAGTCACATTCTGACACAGATGTTGAAGATTCTTTATCGACTGCAGTGCAGTTAATCCTATACCACCTGGTTTTCCCTTGGCGACCAGGTTCTCCTATGTCAATGTTTCTGAGACTGTTCTGGCGTGTTCCAAATTCACTCTCAAATATGATTTATTCTAGACCAAAACCAAATTTGCATGCCGTGCCCATCTGCGGGGATTTGGAAAGACCTTTGCATTAAAGAGATTGGGTTTTCACTTAGGATTTCCACTTCCTCTGACGGAACAGTAGCGGCTGAAGGGTCCCAAATGTCCCAGCAATGAACACGTCCCCGAGGGGCCGGGGATGTGACGGCTCGCCCGAGGCAACAGCAGACCCGACACACGCGCGCCCGACCCGCTCTCTCCGCGGCAAAGCTGCCCCGGAGACACCGACCCGGGAGACGCGACAGCCGCCGGCGAAGCGCGGCCGGGCCAGAGCAGCCCCGGCGGAGCCGCTGCCGCCGCTCCGGGCGGCCGAGCCGAGCCCCGGCCCGCGGCCGCCGCTCCCGCGGGGCCTGTCAGGTGCCGGGACCCCCTCCCCGAGCACGACTCCGTCCCGCCCGGGAGCGCCGCGCCCGCCGCTCACCTGGGGCTGTCGGGGGCTCTCACATGGCGGGTCCCCGGCCGGCCCGGCCCGTTCCCACCGCCGCTTCCCGCCCGCTCCCGCAGCCACTCGCACCCGGAACTGATTCCGCTGGCGGCCGTTCCGCTTCCTGGTGCCGCCCCGGCAGCGGGCGGAGCCCCGGGGCCGGCCGGGAGCCCGGCAGCGGCGCTTCGCGGGGCCGGGCGGAGCCGCCTTCCCGGCGCGGCGCTCCAGGGAGGGAGAAGGGTTCGAGCTGTGGCTGAATCCGGCGTGAATACGGGTAGAGCCGCTCCGAGAACTCCCGCGGGGCAGCTCCAGAGGACAACACGCGCTCAGAACCCCACTGGGCCCTTAGAGAGGCATTGAGGAAGCTTTTGAGGGAGAACATCCCCCACCCCAGCTGTAAATTGCCACCTTTACTGAGCAAAGAATTAAGAAGTTCACCTGTGTTACGCTGTCCCTGTAACTCACACGAATCGCTTCAGCATGCATGCACAGGGATTTTTGTTATCCTACACATACTTGTCGTTCAGGTAGTGCAACGACTCAGTGTTTTACCAGACAGTTGATGTACTACTTGATTAAAGTCAGAGTGACTGGTGCAGTAGGTCCTGCTGGGATATCCACCTGGTCTAACTTTGGACACCACATTCTGTCTTCTGAAGGTATGTCTTTCTCTCCCTATAAAACACAGAACACAGTCTTCAGAAATTAGGCATTGAATGCTGATCAGATAAAGCAGCAGCCTGGGGAGCATCCTGACCAGGGCACAAATAATAGAGCTAAAGAACACACACACAAATTGTATTTGTTCACTCACATAAAAGAAACTCGAAATTCTGAACAGGCAGAAAACTTTGGGCTTGTTCTTACATGCATTCAGTAAGTGTAACCAACAGCAAGAGAAAATTAATTTGCTTGTACCATAGTCCATTTGATTTTGCTGAAAACTGAGGAGCCTGGTATACAAATATTGCCTTCTCCAGGAATTAGCTGAACATGCTTTCAATGAGAGTGAGTTCATTTTTGCTTAGGTAGCAAGCAGCAGCTGGGATGGTTCCACAAGGGCAGAGGAGATGGAGGCTGGACAAAATCAATTGTTCAGTATGAGTATATAAATTTAGTCAGGGAGAGAAGGAATCCTCACAGGAAGATAAGGGAGAGTTAGTCTTTAATACTTTCCCCAGTATGAAATTTCTTTCATACTTAGACAATAATAAAAAAAAAAAAATCTATATTTTATCTGTACTTACTTAATAGTACCAGGAGGTTTTGGAAACATGCAGTTGCTGCTACTCTGTCTGTGTGTTTTGGAATTTCCCTATCAGCATGTACATTCTGTATTGTAACTTCAGAGATCACCATTCTGCAAAAGACAGTTATAACAAAACCTGTTTGATGAATTTGAACTAGCATGGAAACTAATTACCTAAAGCAACAAGGAAATGGGTCCAATTCTACAAATTCATCAAACTTACTGTGTTATAAAAATCAGGGTTTAGTTTAGTTTTTTTCTTAGACCAGGCTGGCATGTTCTCAAAGTTTCAAGAAGACACATTACCAGATAAAGTTTTTCTTTATATATTTAATAAAGTTATATATCAACAACTTTTGAATTTGTACTTTTCTTTGAGCAGTTATTTTGGCAAAGTGAAATATTAAATACTAGTACTAGACATGCATTCCTTTCAGTCAAGCTTAAGAAAACATTTACAAAGTTGACAGATAACGTTTATTAAAACATGTTATACGAAAAAGGGGCATGGGACTCTTCTATAAGAAGAAAATATTGAACAGTAACATTAAATTAAAACCATGCTGTACAATTAGGACAGCAATATTTATAGACAAAACTATCCAACCTCTGCAATACAGGCATAACATCTCACAAAATATCAAGTTATGCAAATTTACTATTATAAATGACTTGTTTAGAATAAAAACTTATAGCTCATTAAGGAAGATTCACTTGCATAAACAGTTACATTTCTGAAAGAAATATGGAATCCTATGAATAATAAAAAAAAGAGCAGCAATTGACAGACACAGGCTTCAAGCAAAAATCAGAACTTACAATTTAATCACATTAAAAATATACCATTTTCTTTTCCAGCATCTTCCCCTAGGGCTCTGACAATTTACAGCTAATAGCTAAAGAAGCCAAGCTATCCAATGAAGCAACTAAATGACAAAAAAACCCTTTCATTTATTGTTTTGAGAAAGGTCCTAATTCTGTTAAAGCAAAATAATCAATATACTTCTGTAGGTCTCATAATTCACACAGGTCACCTTGCTGGCACAAAGCAAAAGGGTTGAGATTACAAACCCTGATGTGCCTCCATTCTTTCAGGCTCAATAATACAAGGACATCAAGGATTCTTTTTAGAATGAGAAACGCAGTACATCAGCCTTTGATCATCTGCCTTGCTCAGGATACAGAACAGTTTCTCAACTTCAGACACACCTCAGATGAAAAAAGCTGAGACCAAGAACTGTACTGACAGTACCTTCTAGAGTCTACCTGCTCACCCATAAAACAAAGAATGTAAAGTTTAAAAAATGAAACAACAAAAAAACACACCCCAAAACAACAGTGGTATCTGAAATAAGAACGTCCTACCTCAAAAGGGTCTGATATACACCTAAGCAACCCTGCTAACAGTTGAATTTTTCAGAATGGCAGCTACACAGATTCCATGGTAATTAACATCTGAGTTACAAAATGGAATGAAAAGGAACTTAGCTGTAGTATCATCAAGTATTCTTACCACTGCTAGGACAATGAATGGCTTCACAGCAGCAGGAAATTCTGAAAGCCTCCTGTGTGTACAATGATGCTGGTTTTCAGAAGACACTTTACTACAGCCAAAAGCCACATTATTGAAGGTAATGAAGCAAAAGGGAAGATTAATGAAATTCATTGTATACATATGCATTCATATTATATATATATATATATATGGATCACTTCCCTCCTCCCCACAAACAAGAAATAATTTTTTGTACCTTGAACAAGACCACTCCATTAGCAAAGATTAAGAGCCTGACAGAAGCCTTGTCTGTGTATCTTGGCTATGTAGAACTGCAGTGGCACCAGTGGCAGGGGCTGCAGAGGGGATGAGTGGCCAGAGCTTCTGAGCTGCCCTGTGCTAGTCAAGTGGGGTTCAGCCTGCACCAAAACAGATGTGGACAATCCACTGCATGCCAAAATCTCAACCAGAGGTGTGCACGTTGCTTCTGCTTAAACATATTTAAGGAAGAGTGGCAGCTGCTAGCAAGAGATGCAGGGAGACACATATAGAGAATATACTCCTGGGGACATGTGGAAAAACTGAAGAGCTGCTCTTGGGAAAATACCTGGAGAAGTCACTGAGGATATGTATAGACATACTCACAGAAGGACACGCTCTGTGTCTGAGATTTACTTTTGAGAGGACTTTGGCCTACAGCTAAGCCATGCCAGAGCAGTACACCTCTGAAGTAACTGAGGCCCACAGGAGAGCCAGACTGGAACAGACCCACCCCTGAAGGGACTGTGGCCCGGTGTCACCATGAATAGTGACACTAACCAGCCCAGAGCACCAGAGGACACCCACTAAGAAATGAAGAGCATCAGACAAGGCAGTGTGCATACGAGCCCCACCTCCTGTGTGACTTGTCACCTCACTAAAGGAAATGGCAGGAAATGCAACTCTTGGTGAAAACAAGGGAAACTGAGACTACAAAGGCAGGGAGGAGAGGTGTTACACTTAAGCTGAGCCTGAAGCAGAGAGAGGAAAGATGTTTCTTTAAGTGTTTAAGTAATTTTTTGTTATTTGTTCCCCCCAATACCTGAAATGGTGATTAGAAGTTTGTCAAAGGGCAATAAATTGAACTCAGGAAAAACACCACAAGACAACTGTTTCACCTGTGCCATGCAAAAGTAAGGATTTTAGACATGTATCTCAAGCTGCCCTTAAATCATTGAACCTCTCAACTTGATCTCATGACAATCAGATCAGTATTTTCCTGCAATCAATTGGTTTCATGTAAATTAACATCACCCAAGTGCTTCAAGATCAGTGGAGCAACATTTTTTGGACTTTTAAGACAATGCCATAATATGGGGTAAAACAGCTATAGGCAAATACTAAAAGGTTACTATGCATGCTAAGTCATTAAAAAAGAACATGGTTCCATAATATGATCTACTGGACCTGTTAAAAAACCTTTAAAGTGTCTCTCACAGTATAATTTATTTTAAAGCTTTATTTCAAAGTAATCTAACTGCAAATAGAAGTAATGTTTAACCTTGAAATATCCCATATAAAAGTCATTCCAAGCTGGTAAAAGAAACAGTTTTGCTGGCAGCTCTGTAGGATGGTCTGGGTTTGACAGACATATTTTTTGCTTGACCATGGTTTTCAGACTGGTGTTTCTGTCCAGCCTTTTTTATGGTTAAATGGGAAGAGGCACTCTTGACCTTTTTATGCAAAACTAAAGTGACAATTTCAAAGGGGCTGAGAACTAATGTAATATACAAGATCATTCTTGAAATGAGTATGTGAAGGAACACCCTGGATGTATTCAAGGCCAGGTTTGATGGGGCTCTGAACAACCTGGTCTAGTTGAAGGTGTCCCTGCCCACAGCAGGGACACTGGAACTAGATGATCCTCAAGGTCCCCTTCCAACCCAAACCATTCTATGATTGAGTGATTCTAACACCTTCTCTCAAATGTGATGATGGTACTTGCAGAAATGACACCCTATATGTGGTAAGGCCTTGGAGAATGGAAAAATAGGGCCATAGAGAGCAAGAACCCTTTCCACTACACTCATGTAAACAGGCAAGCATTATAATTTTTTTTTTAAAATATTAAAAAAGACAGTGTTAGCACTGTGGAAACAAACCATAAGGGGAATATAATTTCTAAGTTTAAAAAACATATTTATAAAGTTTTATGGTTTGGTTTTTTTTTTTTTTTGTTTAAATACAAAGTGCTTCTATACATTAAGCAGGCTACAGTGTTAGTGAGCAAAATCCCTGTTTTGGTACCTTGATCACAAGGGTTACACATGGCCACCATAATGTTTGTAGAGTTCAATTAAGTGCGAAGAAC